CGGGGAATAAGTGAGGTCCGGTGTCGTGTGACGCGCGTTTGGGCCTGGTGACGCGCTTTAGGTACCGCGGATGTATCACAGTGAAAAGGCAGAGAGCTTTCGAAGGGAAGGAGGTACGGAATAGTCCGCGGTGTTTTCAAATTTTCGCACTGAAAGTCAGGCTTTTGGCTTTCTACCTTTTTTTCTTTTGGCCCATAAACGATATGCTTTTAGTGCCTTCAAATACCAAATAAAAAAAATAAAAAAAAGAAATCGCGTTTTTTTTTTTTTTACGGAATTTTGCTGCAGCCAGTTTGGAGGAGTCACAAGGTTGTCTTATGCTAGAGGTTTAGCCTTTTAGTGGAGTGTCAACAAAAAGTTGACACCTAGGCGCCAAGAAGTCTACTGCCTTTCTAATGAACTTTGGGCCAAACAGCTCCTGGAAGTCAAGTCAAAAGCTAAATACAATCTGCAGAAAGTATGATGGAAAGCTGTTGACATTTAATACCTGTGTTGACTTTCCACAAAAAAAGTATTACACTTTTTTGTAAGGGATTCCCTCAAGAACCACTGAACCCGTGAAGCCACTGTGTCGTCTGCTAGCAACGCAAAACCGATTGTGGTACTGAGATATGATAGAAAAGTCTTCATGATTAGATATTGAGAAGACACAAGGCTTACAAAATTTATTTACTTTTATAGCGCAGCTCTTAGGCACCCGTTTCCGGCTTGAGCGTCGGCGGCGTCGGCGTAACGGCGCGGTGCATGATGGGAAACGTCCCATAATACACCGCGCCGAAACTTCACACAACGTTTCGTCGCGGTGTCGAAACGTCACCGTGCCGAAACGTCGCGTGACGACGCGCGCTTCGCGCGTGAAAAAAGGAAGAGAGTAGAGGGGTCGGATGAAAAGGAACAGGGGCATACCAACGGCATACCCTCCCTTCTTCCTTCTCCTCAAGAGCTGCGCTCTAAATCGGCGTAACAAAAAGTTGTAAACGTCTTTTTTTTTTGTCAGACAATTTCTATTTTCGCGTCAAGCCCCCACGTATACAGACTCCCCTCAGGACCGCCAAGTCTTGCAGTCTGACCTGCTCATGATAGGCCGGTGGTCCGAACTCAACTGACTGTCCCTTGGCCCTAACAAAACGGTGTACCTCAAAATATCAAGGAAAAGGAAACCATCGATGTCACGTACAGTGCCCGCGGGTCTTGCATAGAGATCACAGAAGCCAATATTCTTGGTGTATGGTTCGATAAGACTCGTTCTTTCAGAAGGCATGTCTTCTATATCTGATAAGGGCAAGCAGATTGAGGGGCTTCATAACTAGGACGATAAGATAAATGCCATGCCATGCTTTCTGCACACTGTACACGGCTCTCGTGCTGCCGGTTTTGGAATACTGCTCCTCTGTCTGAAGTCCCCATCGAGCTAACCTACAAAAAAAAAAAAAAAGAACTGAATTGAGCACAAAGGAAGGCCACGAAAGCGGCACTTTACCTGCAGGAGCAGAAGGCAAGCAAGCACGGTGCCTGCCCCACCCCTGATGGTCACTTGAGGAGGTCAAGGCTTGATCTTTCGAAACTTTTAACGGCAATTTGCCCTTACTATCAGTGCCTCTGCCTCCCCCTTTGTTCAAGCGCCTGGCCTATGGAAACCCTTGCCAGAGGCTGCTTGTCGGGCCTCTAATGCCGACACATTCAAAGATCTGGTGCAGAATCATCTGGTAGCCCAACCTCATTGCGTTTATAAATATATCACCCCTGCATATATTTTTACAGCGGAGCTGTTAAGCGCTGTTTCCCCAGGATCGTATCCACCAGCAAAGAAATGATGACACCGAACTTTGGACAGCTACCACCATCTATGAGCTACGGCGGCAACCAGACAACTGGTTGCCGCCGTCGCTCATAGATGGCGGCAACCTTTCTTCGGTGGTAGAGTTCCTGTATAGGCTTCCAGCGGGAGCCAGAGTTGCGCGTCTGTTTTCCACGTGCCGCCGCGCCACTATTCGCCGAGATCCGATGACGTGAGGATCCGGATCAAGTGCCGTGCAGGAAGGTAGACGTTGCACGCGCCCCGACAGTACGTTCCCCTGCTTTTGAGCGCGCCACGCGCCTCGAACGCGCGGTTCCACTATTCGCCGAATTCAGTCACGTGAGGAGCAGGATTAACATGCCGTGCAGGAAAGACGGCGCTACGGGGATGAACGCGCAACTCTGGCTCCCGTAGAGCTCCTATACAGGAACTCTATTCGGAGGAAGAAGAGCGGGAACGGAACGAGTGGCGATGTGCGCAAGCAGCGCGAATGGTTCCGCAACCGCCGCGAGGCCGCTATCGCCTCAAGTTCCACTGCGTCGGGCGCTTCAGATTCCCTTGCGAAAGCAGAGCAGATCGCTCGCCTGGAAAGCCATACATAATTAAACAGCGCACAAGGAGAGGGACAGAAAAGGAAGACAGAACAGGCAAGCGCTGACTCGCAACTGACGATTTACCGTGAAAAGGAGAAGGAAGAAAACTACACACATGAACATATGTCGGAAAAGAGAAAGATGTGAAAAAGCTAATAAATTAAATAAAATTACACCTAAAATAATTATAGCTGAAAAGGAAAACAAAATAAAATGAAAATCAATCTCTCAAAGTCCTAGGCATGTCCAGTGCCGGCACTCCGAAGCCTTGACCATACACCTATTTGTGCGCAGCTGCCCCCATAAACTCATACTCGCTGTCTTGTAGTGTTAATGATGGCTGGCTCACCCATTTGGATTCGAGCTTTCTTATCCAAAAGGCTTCCACTATTTCTCTTGTTGTTTTTTCTTTATGGGAAGCTAGAACAGTTGTTGCACAAAAATCTGGATCACATCCACAGGTTCTGCAGTGGATGGCTAGGTGGCTTCCAGTGGTGGTTTGAAGAGACTGTTTATGTTCCCTCAAGCGGTCGTTGAGGCAACGCCCAGTCTGTCCGACATAGGTTTTCCCGCAGGACAGAGGAAGATGGTAAACAACTTGTAGAATGCAAGACACAAAGTGCACCTTGTGGTTTTTCATGCAGCAAGCCCTGCTGTCATTGTTTTTGTCCACAAGCGTGCAAATTCTACCGTTTGTTTGGGGCTGAAAACACCATGGGCACGTTGTATCTATTGGCAACATTTTTTTAATGTTGCTGGAAAGCCACCACAGAGAACAGAAGCTACCAGCTCCGCTGCTCTTCCTTCTTCACCAGAGTGGAAAGGCTGAACGTTTTTTCTCTTCTCATCTCATTTCATGTGTTAACGTATAGCCGAGGAGGCAGTCGGTATATCCTGCTCGAGCTTCAGCTTTTTGAGTGCCTAAGTCTCTCGGCCTTGCAAAAGTTCGAGCCCCCAAAAATATCCTTTGAATTTTAATCCATAACAACGGCGTTAGCAACAGTTTGTTTGAAGCGGAGCCCCATGTTGTGACGTAATCACTTCAAGACCGACCTAGAGGTGGAGCTGCTGTAGCGCTATCATCATCGTCGAAACGGTGATAAAAGCATGGCCGCCCCATAGGCTCTCCACGTTCGCGCGCGAGACGGTTTAGATTCTTACGTTTATTTTGTTGCATAGTATCAGTGGGCGAACAACTTCAGCGAAAAATAGTGCCGTACTGAGCGGTGCTTCAATAAAGATTAAATCGTGTTACCAGCCTACGGCCTGAATTTAAATAATCGTTTGTGTAGATACGTACTTTGCTCTAGGCAGACGTTATAAAGCATGGATTACCACGACGGATGCCTCCGGGTAAACTACACTATTTACGTTAAATGTCGTTTTTTTTAAGTGTGTGTTGTGAACTTGCAGGTTCTATCATATTTTTTGGTGTGGTAACTTTTACCTTTTGCAAAGCCGTTACACTTAAACTATTGTTGTAATATCACACTTAACCTATTGTCAATGGGGAAAACTACATCTTCAAACCCACAGCGTATTCATTAATTACAAAAGAAATATGTTCGGCGCATCTATAACTCCCTTATGGAGCACCAAGTTCAATTTTCTTTCGGTGTTCTCGCGTTGTCAGAGCACACAACCTATACACATATCGTTTGAGTGCCCGCTATAAATTATAGAAACACAGAAATATAGTTAACATACGTAATCTGTTCCAACTGCAAATGAAGGCCTGTAGTTACTCTACAAAACACAAAGAGAGCTGGGTAGTCCCTACAACTCGACTTAACTCCGGAAAAGTGTGTCTCCGTTATCTGTTACCATCCCTATTAAACGACTATCACCATGTTCATTTTGATTTGTACACTTGCAGATATAGGTGAACTGGGCGCAATGCACAAAGCATAAAAACTAAACACACTAAAGTGTGTTAAAATATTTTTCTGAGTTTTCTCTTCTTTCTTGTGTACAACTTATCGATTTATTTTATAGGAAGGTGTTACTATTGTTTATTGTATTGTTGATAGTTGTCTGCTTTTGCTTTTATGATGAAAGTACCTTGTATTATTATATAATTTCTTGTGTTCTTTTTTAAATGTCTTTCTCGCCACTGTTATGTACCTGAGGGGGCTGAGGACCAGTCAAACTGCTTGGACAGCTTTTTTCCTCAGCCCCCACCATGCTTATATATAGTAAGTAAAGCTATTAATATTATTATTATATTATTAGTGATATATTGGAAATGACCGTGCTATTGATAACTCCTATGAGTAAGAAAGCTTCGCTATAGCCAATATAATTCTTTTTACTCTGCCATGATGTGGGTAAGTTTATCGGAGTCTGAACAATTCGTTGCGATGAGGAGAGAGTGCCTCTTCTAGGTTGCGATCCACAAAGTGTTCGTTGGCGGGACCACCGAGACAAGTGAAACAAACTGTTCTAGTATATGCCGCGAGTGGAATAACGAGTGTAACCGAGCAACGCAGCAGCATGCGTGCCATTAGATGTTCTTCTCGGTAGTGTGGGTTCACACGCTTTCATTTTCTCGGGGAGCGCCGAGAAAATATGATAAATTTCTCGCTAATTAATCTTCTGTTCAAACACAGCAGACTCGGCAACTCCAGCAAACGACCCGCACCAGGACACAGACAGTGTCGTCCGCAGTGACTGTTTTACTGATGTGAGGTAGTGAGTCTCACGAGACCTTTCCGATAGCCCTCCGCACTAACCTAACGCATATGGGGTTTGAGCAGTTCATCGATCCGACTTCGGGTTATTCAAGGGACGCTTTCATTCCGATAAATTTTGGTTTTCTTTTGCCATTAATTTGGTGTTTTGTACTCAAGAAAGTCAGAAAAACAAGAGTAAAAAAAAAAAGTCGACTTTAATATTTCTGACGTCGTTATTTCTTTAAGCCGGAGTCATACCTGCACACTGCTTATACATCATACGAAGACAGTCTGCAAACAGATTCGAACGCGTTTTACCGCGAGATTCGTGATTCGAATGCCGCACGGCAACGAGTTCAAGAAGAATAATTGGCACGCGGAATTCGAACCAAGGATATTCCGGTGACTCGTGTTTTCCAGACCCTTTTTTGTATGATGTACGATCAGTGCGACCCCTGCTTTAGGACAGAGACTTGCACGGTAAACCATTTCGGCATGTTTGTGATTGTCATCGAGAATGGTTATACTGTTTAAATTGTAACTTAAAAATGACTTCACTTGAAAAGGCTTCTCGTGCTCATATTTCTGTAGACGTCACAACGTGAAGTTTGAAATGGGACTGCAATTTGCCATAGTAAAAATTATAAAAAACGACATAGTAAAAATTATAAAAAGAAAAAAAAATGTGTAGTTTGAACGTCTTTTATGTTCTATGACTGGAGACTCATTAGCTAACGAATTTATTAATTGATTAGTCTATTAAAGGGTGGCGATCAGACGGGTTAATTTTTTAATCAACCTCCAGCTCCTACCAGCAAGCAGACATGTACAAATTACTCAAAAAAGGTAGTTAAGTTAAGTTACTGAGTATCGACGCCAAAAGTAATTGGAGTAGAGTAGAAATTACGCATTTGTAATAGTAATTGAGTAAACTACTAACTACTGTAAAAAGTAGCGAGTTACTTTGAAGTTACTTTCGAAGTTACTTTTTTATATTTTTGTGGTAGCAAAATTAACAGCAGTTTTGATCAATGAAAAACCCTGCGAGCCTAAAATGAATGCAGTCTATCTATGGCTTGCGTTTTCGCCAAAATAGTTTATTCGCTCACAGAAGCAATTGACTTTCAAAGTTCTTGATAGGAGAGTTTTACCCTTTTCCTTCTAAGGACGTCCCCAGCCAAGCTAAATAGACGTTCCCCCGACGGGCTGGATGGAACGGCAGCGTTGAATTTAAGAAACAGGCTGTGCAAGGTCGGGTAAGCGAGTGTCGGCATCTTAGGTGTCAATGACTAAACATGTGAGGTTTGCCTCGGGTAGAGGATCTTTTATAACAAACTTTCCTCCTTTTTTTCTTTTTTCTTCGTCAAGTTGAGATTGTTATGACTGGCCCCTCTTTATTCCGACGTCGTTCTGAGAGTACGCTGAGCGAGTGCATCAGACCGTCAAGGATTTAAGTCTCGCGCCACGACGATGAGATCATCCGGACGACTGCGCATCCCGTTGTAGTGCTAGTGCTGCGCTACCGAAAAAAAAATTGTTTTGGTTTAACAGATGATGAACCGAAGTATACTTCGCCGCTGACGCCGGGTCCAACAAAATGATCTCCCAAGGGTAACTCGCAATCCTCCCCGGCGACTACAATATTCTGATGCGCCTGACACGCCTGCCAAGTAAATCGTTTTTAACAAAGAGGAGGTCTCCCGGGCATGGATGGTCGGAAGGACGCGAAGGATTACGTGAACAAGCATGCAGCTGGAAGCAGGAACGTGCTCCCATGAACGGATTATCCGTGCCAGGGTTTGTGCGCGGGGGAGTCCGGCTTTGCAAAGGCGTATGCGCTGACGACAAGGCGACCATGGGAACAGGCGCCCAGCTGCGAGGTCATTCCAGTGGCGCCTCCAGTGGAACCTACCGCTTGAGTCATGGTTGCAGCTGGAAACGCGGCGCCTGCGTGCATTACCGGATTAGGTCAATACCCGACCAAGGCTTGTTAAGCATCTCTTCCTGCGTTCGTGCGTGCCGGTGTTATGTTTTGGCTGCTCGTCGCCACCTTGGCCCAAGGACGCCTTCCCGAACAAGGGGGCCCCTTGTTCGGGAATGAATGCCACTTTATCTGCCGGCGTCTTATTCATTTCTGCGCTCAAACTTTCGTGATGGGCAAAATTAGCACTATATAATTTCGAAAGTAGTTAGTAATTTGAGTAGAAGTTACCCGAAAAAAGTAGTTAAATTAAACTACTAATTACCCAAATCAAGCTGTACTTGAAAGTTACCAAGTTACTCGAAAAAGTAGTTAAACTACAGTAGTTTGAGTAGAGTAGTTGAACTACGTCCAAGTCTGCCAGCAAGTAATCTTCTATGCAAACTATGGATTGTGCGAGATAACAAATATATGTAGAACTAGCGGTTCTTTAAGCCACAGCACTAAGATTATGGAAGTATCCGACTTAATATTTATCGCTTCACTGAATTGTGTTGGTTCGTGTGAAACGAACCAACACAACCTTTAGTAGAAAGAAACAACAAAGCAACAAGCATTTAATTGGGAGGGTCCAGCTCAGCCAGGCTCCTTGCACTGACGTCACATCGGATACTTTTGACCATCACGTAAAAAGAGGAGAGGGAAGCTGCTTATGTAAGAATTTCGAGTGACAGGTTAATTTTCTATAATCTTCTGGGAGGAGAATATATAGACGTCTGTGCATGTCCGGGAGGCACAAAGGAGGATCCTGATAAGAGGGGAGCTTCTTCTTCCCCTTTTCTCTGGAAGGCATCGGAAATGACGTCATGTGCAAGCCACGTATACGTGGCTTGCACATAACGTCATTTCCGATAACCTCCAGAGAAAACGGGAAGAAGGAGCTCCGCTCTTATCAGGAGCCTCCCGGATTTGCACGGGCATCGCTGTTCTCCTCCCAGAAGATTATAGACCGTTTTATCGTGGGTAGCGCCATTTTGAGAGCGAGAGAGAAAAGGGGAAAGGGCTACCGGCGCTTTCCCCCTTTCTGATTGTGTTGAAAGAGTGAAAGTCCCGGATGAGAGGCTTGGCCGGTGTTGGGTGTCTGCAGTGCCCCAACTTCGTTCGCGCTTTCTTCTACGTTTCAAACTCCCAAACTTAATTAGAGGCATGGTCTTCGATGGCGACAGTCCCCCGGTCATCGGGACACCATTGCTGGGTGATAGGGTGCACGAATAACGACAGAAAGCGTCGAATACTGTCCGAGGACCTATGTAGCTTGCATGGAATCCGGCAAGGCAAGTACGGCTGGAATGTTTTTAAGCTCAATTGCTTTCCGCATGACTGGAAATGATGAACCATTTATACATTTTTGCTTGCAATGGGCCTATTTCAACGTAGCCGCTTTTAGTTGTAATCAACAAGCGATACACGAAACGGGAACCTCAATTAACTTTGTAAACACCCGGACCTGCTACATATCGTCTTGCTGTGCTGTTTTTATCTTAGTGTTCCTGTTCTTATATCTCCTTGTGAATGAGCGACGAAGACGCTCTAGATGTACTGTTATCGAACCGCAGAAAGCCTTGAAACAGCCACAAATTATTTTATTATTTGATGCATTATTTTGAGTACTCACCTCCAATTTCTATCGCTGGCACGTTCGCTACCGCTGTTCCCCCCGTCGCCACACTGGCGGATGCCATGACTCAAACAAAGAAACGTGCACGCTGGGCTCGAAAACGCAGATCGCAACAAACGAGACGTTCCTGCAGCGACTATCAAGCGCCTCAAAGCGCCTTAGTCAACGGAAACAACCCACCAGCGGCACTTCAAGGAGCGCTTTTGCCGGCTCTCTGGTATCGCGCAGGAGACCGCGATTAAAAAACAAACAAACAAACAATAGAACTACGTTTTTAACAATTTCCAGCCTCACCCGGCGGCGGAAATGAGCCTTCAACTAAGTGTTGTAGAGGATAAAATCAAGTCAGTCAGCACTGCAAATTATCAATATTAAGATAAATTCAGTTGCAGCCGCTCTCGCCTTGCCGGGTTCCTTGCAAGCTACATGTCCTCGGACGGTATTCTATGCTTTCTGTTTTTATTCGTGCACCCTGTGACCCAGCAATGGTGTCCCGATGACCGGGGGACTGTTGCCATCGAAGCCTCTGGCTCTAATTAAGTTTGCGAGTTTAAAACAGGAAAGAAAGCGCGAACGAAGTTCGGGCACAGCAGACATCCAACACCGGCGAAGCCTCTCATCCGGGACTTTCACACTTTCTACACAATCAGAAAGGAGGAAAGCGCCGGTAGCCCTTTCCCCTTTTCTCTCTCGCCCTCTTTCAATAAAACGGTCTATAGGCTCCTTGCATTGACGTCACATCGCACACATTTGCACACCAAGTAAAAGGAGGAGAGGGAAGCTGCTTTTGTAAGAATTTTGAGTGACGGGTTAATCTTCTATAATCTTCTAGGAGGAGAATAGCGACGCCTGTGCAAATCCGGAAGGCACAAAGGAGGGTCCTGATAAGAGGGGAGCTCCTTCTCCCCCTCTTCTCTGGAGGGTATCGGAAATGACGCAATGTGCAAGGAGCCTATAGAAGGCTCCTTGGCACTGACGTCACATCGGATACTTTTGAACACCATATAAAAGGAGGAGAGGGAAGCTGCTTTTGTAAGAATTTTGAGTGACAGGTTAATCTTCTATAATCTTCTGGGAGGAGAATATATAGACGTCTGTGCATGTCCGGGACGCACAAAGGAGGATCCTGATAAGAGGGGAGCTCCTTCTTCCCCTTTTCTCTGGAAGGCATCAGAAATGACGTCATGTGCAAGCCACGTATACGTGGCTTGCACATAACGTCATTTCCGATAACCTCCTGAGAAAACGGGAAGAAGGAGCTCCGCTCTTATCAGGAGCCTCCCGGATTTGCACGGGCATCGCTGTTCTCCTCCCAGAAGATTATAGAAGGCTCCTTGGCACTGACGTCACATCGGATACTTTTGAACACCATATAAAAGGAGGAGAGGGAAGCTGCTTTTGTAAGAATTTTGAGTGACAGGTTAATCTTCTGTAATCTTCTAGGAGGAGAATATATAGACGTCTGTGCATGTCCGGGAGGCACAAAGGAGGATCCTGATAAGAGGGGAGCTCCTTCTTCCCCTTTTCTCTGGAAGGCATCGGAAATGACGTCATGTGCAAGCCACGTATACGTGGCTTGCACATAACGTCATTTCCGATAACCTCCAGAAAAAACGGGAAGAAGGAGCTCCGCTCTTATCAGGAGCCTCCCGGATTTGCACGGGCATCGCTGTTCTCCTCCCAGAAGATTATAAAAGGCTCCTTGGCACTGACGTCACATCGGATACTTTTGAACACCATATAAAAGGAGGAGAGGGAAGCTGCTTTTGTAAGAATTTTGAGTGACAGGTTAATCTTCTATAATCTTCTGGGAGGAGAATATATAGACGTCTGTGCATGTCCGGGAGGCACAAAGGAGGATCCTGATAAGAGGGGAGCTCCTTCTTCCCCTTTTCTCTGGAAGGCATCAGAAATGACGTCATGTGCAAGCCACGTATACGTGGCTTGCACATAACGTCATTTCCGATAACCTCCTGAGAAAACGGGAAGAAGGAGCTCCGCTCTTATCAGGAGCCTCCCGGATTTGCACGGGCATCGCTGTTCTCCTCCCAGAAGATTATAGAAGGCTCCTTGGCACTGACGTCACATCGGATACTTTTGAACACCATATAAAAGGAGGAGAGGGAAGCTGCTTTTGTAAGAATTTTGAGTGACAGGTTAATCTTCTGTAATCTTCTAGGAGGAGAATATATAGACGTCTGTGCATGTCCGGGAGGCACAAAGGAGGATCCTGATAAGAGGGGAGCTCCTTCTTCCCCTTTTCTCTGGAAGGCATCGGAAATGACGTCATGTGCAAGCCACGTATACGTGGCTTGCACATAACGTCATTTCCGATAACCTCCAGAAAAAACGGGAAGAAGGAGCTCCGCTCTTATCAGGAGCCTCCCGGATTTGCACGGGCATCGCTGTTCTCCTCCCAGAAGATTATAAAAGGCTCCTTGGCACTGACGTCACATCGGATACTTTTGAACACCATATAAAAGGAGGAGAGGGAAGCTGCTTTTGTAAGAATTTTGAGTGACAGGTTAATCTTCTATAATCTTCTGGGAGGAGAATATATAGACCTCTGTGCATGTCCGGGAGGCACAAAGGAGGATCCTGATAAGAGGGAAGCTCCTTCTTCCCCTTTTCTCTGGAAGGCATCAGAAATGACGTCATGTGCAAGCCATGTATAGGCTCCTTGCACAGGACGTCATTTCCGTTGCCCTCCAAAGAAGAGGGGAAGAAGGAGCTCCCCTCTTATCAGGACCCTCCTTTGTACCTCCCGGATTTGTACAGGCGTCGCTATTCTTCCCCCAGAAGATTATAGAAGATTAACCTGTCACTCAAAATTCTTACAAAAGCAGCTTCCCTCTCCTCCTCTTACTTGGTGTTCAAAAGTGTGCGATGTGACCTCAGTGCAAGGAGCCTATACGTGGCTTGCACATAACGTCATTTCCGATAACCTCCACAGAAAACGGGAAGAAGGAGCTCCGCTCTTATCAGGAGCCTCCCGGATTTGCACGGGCATCGCTGTTCTCCTCCCAGAAGATTATAGAAGGCTCCTTGGCACTGACGTCACATCGGATACTTTTGAACACCATATAAAAGGAGGAGAGGGAAGCTGCTTTTGTAAGAATTTTGAGTGACAGGTTAATCTTCTATAATCTTCTGGGAGGAGAATATATAGACGTCTGTGCATGTCCGAGAGGCACAAAGGAGGACCCGAATTATTGCGCACGGCAAGCTTGTGTTCCCGCATTCTTTCATTGAAGCAGCGGCCGGTCTGATCGATGTGAACTTCTAGAAATGTATAAAAAAATGGCAAGAACAAAATTGTGCTCCATTCCAGCCCCCCCCCCCCCCCCCCCCGAAGGCATGGGACAGTTGCATGATTGTGCCAAAAATTCTACTAGTGAATATTATAGGCTGATGGGTATTCATCTGACATGAAGCCCGATTGCAGTCGTCTTTTCTCCTCCCTTTGTCTGTGGCGGATTAAGAGTGCTGTAGCTTTTTGCTCACAACAAATAATTTGTGCAAGAAGTAAAATGAGATGATTCACCATTATTACAAGTTAACCTTAGTGGCTATCTACAAGCCAAAGCATTAATCTTTATAAAGGGAGACTGAAACGCTGTACCATTTCTTCCACCATATCACCGTCATTCCTTCCAAACTGCCTTGTACAAGGTAGTTGCCAATTATGGCAACAGGTTTACTGCAGTCGTTGGCCAAACCGTGTTCAAGAATAGAGCAAAACAAATGTCTGCTGCTTACGTTTGAGTGCTGGAGTGGCAAGCATCGACTCAAATCGCGTACGCCATGTCAATCAGGTACACCATTAGAGTTGAAAATACCGCTATTACGGCATCATCACTCAAGCAGTTTATCAACTGGTTTGAACTGTTCACTGAATAAATATGTTCACTGTCCCACTTCTCCCGCCGTCCCATCCCTCCCCTTTTTCCCTACGTATGCTTTTACGGAAATACGTACATAAATGAATATGACACGAGCTATGAATGATTGCATGAACTGACGTGTAAAGCCCCCACCCGATCTTAATTTTGACAGATCCATCTCAAGACGGTCCCGAGTTACCCGAGGGCCAGTAAACCATCATGACAGTCACTTACACGGCAGAGGTTGCTACATCGAGAGGTTTCGGCTGTTTCTGGAAGCTGCTATTTAGGTAAGTTTTCCGGTGTACCTCTCTAGGAAACAGAACGACATGGCACAGTCTGAGTATGCATGGAAGATGTACATTCATTTAAATTTTCTTGTTCACAAGGACGATACACGATTGAAAATTTTTGCGAAATGGCATTGTTATGTACAATAAAATAACTGACTGTATCATTCTTATGAAAAATGTATATTTATTATTCATAATTGTTCTATTTTTTGTTATCGATTTATGATGTACGGCCGTGTACCCAAAACTTCGTTACGTCACACCGCGGTGGTGGCGCTTCGGGCACACTTCCGGGCATTCCTGTGTAGTGACGACTAAAACAGCGCTAACGCAACGAAGGACAAGAGAAGACGTTGATAGACAGAGCGCTGACTCTCGACTGAATTTTATTGGAAAGGAACATATTAAATCGACGCGATTTAATAGGACGCAACCGTTATCACCTTGTCATGCACTATATATGTCTATCGTACACACGTGCTCCTAAGAAGGCCAGTTCTTCATCAAACAGAGCGATCCAAGGCACACTTAAACACACGTCATTTCCATATCGAGATACGTTGTACACCTCGGCAATCTCCTTCGTTGTTTGCCGTCTATAGACGTTTTCCGTTACTTTTCGCTTTCAGTCACGTGGGTTTTGTATCTGGCATGCGGGACAAAAAAATAATAAACATTTCAACCTGGAAGATGCGAAAAAATTGAGGTGGGGCAACATAAGAATGCGGGACAATCACGCATTTTTCGTCAACACCTTCCAGCAGCGTTAAGATAACAAAACGATGTTTTAGCGCATTCCAGAAGTGACGACATTCAAAATGACTGCGCCCTTGTGGAAAACGTGTAAACACCCCCAGGATAACTGTTTTTCTAACCTTGGTTCGCAGCCAGGTCTATTACAGTGGATGGCGAGATTGCTTAAGGCAATGACCTCATTCAGAGCGCGTGTTCTCTTGGTCTATCATTTATACATCGGCCTCTCTGCCGATGTCCACGTTATTACACGAAAGTGGTATTTGATAGACGACACCCTCCCTACACCGAACAAACTGCTTTTTGTGTTTCTTCGCACATGCATGACCCCTCGGTTTATCCCGATCTACTCTCGCACATAGCCTTCCCAGCTTCGATGGGGTTGAAAACACCACCGGGACGTTACGTCTTTGCGCCACTTTCTGTAGCCTATGAGTCACCTTGTGTATGTGCGGTAGAACCACTGGCCTTACTTTAGGACTTTTCTGCCATACTTGTCAGGGTGTTCCATTGCCTTTATAAGGCTCTGTGGCACTTCCCTTAGAAGGCCGTGCGGATACTCTCTCCCCCTTCCCCCCGCTCCCCCTTGTTAGGTTGTCTAATTAGATTGAAAAACTACACCTCATCACATGCGGACATGCTTCAACTAAGGCTGTTTTCAGGCAGCTTACGGCGCAATACCCCTCTTCACCAACTTGGATTGACTGGAATCGAACGACAGCACTCCTCTCTTATTGCTGGGACGGTACGACCAGCACAAGTGGTCGTCTGTAAAAGAAAGCTTTAAAGGGGCAATGCAACAATTTTTCTACTTTCAATCAGTAGAGATTAGAATTATTCTTTGACATATACGACTTATGAAACCCACGTTACTGTTTTTTTTTCTCTACGCAATGGCAGTCCCAGAAAAAAATTCTAGGAAGACAAACATTGTTTACGCCCTCAACTCGCAGCCAGAAAAAGTTGCCACGTGATCTGGAGCCGATTACATGCCGCCAGTGTTTTTAACATGGTCTCGCGTTGGGGTTGACTGAGTAAGTGCGCGCGCTGAGTTGCTCGCATTGTTAAGGGTCGGCCATTCCCGTCATCCCAGCAATTGGTCGTGAGCACTACCCGAATGCATGTCGAGGTATTGATTGTCACGAGTCAAAGATTGAATACTTACGCAGACTTCGTGTCCACTGCGTGAGAAGCATTTAAATATCGTCACAGCGGGGATCGTAAAGCTCGGCGACACACTTCTGGGGATCGCATTGTTGGCGTTGTCCCCACAACTCCGTCATCAAATTTTGCGAAGGCGAGACTACAAGAAAAGGTTCACTTTTATCCTTGGAACTCTACCGCGACAAAGACGCTTCTTGGACAGTGGCGTTCTGTTCGAGTATTCTTGGGTCCCATAGTGCCAGTATGCTGATGTAAAGTGAGAAACGTTCCCACCCAATATCGCTATATCAAGCATTAAATCGCACGGGAGTGTCGCTTTTCAAAACTCCTCCGGGGTTTTGGGATTGACGTCACATAATCACAACTTCGTGGCGCGCGATTCAAAACGGACGAAATAGCCGCAAACTAAAATGAGTCTCACGCAATAAATATTGCTGTAAAAAATTTTTTTCCTCGCGGAAAAATTGTTTTTTGACATGCTTGTCCCAATTAGGCTAATTAAAAAAAACTTTTTTTTCTTTGCAGTTACCCTTTAAGTAGTGTTTTTTTTTTTTTTTTTTACAGCGGAGCGGCTAAGGGCTAGTTTCCCCAGGATCGTCTCCCCCGCAAAGAAATGAAGACACCGAACTGTGGGCACCTACCGCCATCTATGAACGACGGTGGCAAGCCACGTATCTGGTTGCCGCCGTCGCTCATAGATGGCGGCAGCCTTTCGACTCTGGCTTGCCGACTTGCGGCCGGCTATTACTTCCCACTGTACAGCTCCGCTGGCCTTCCTTCTTCACCAGAGTAGAAAGGCTGAAAGCCTTTTTTTTTTGGGGGGGGGGGGGGGTCTTCTTTTATTGTTTCTGAGCAAGAATAACTTCTCCTGAGGGAAGTAGTGTGCATCGGCTCGACTGTTGTGTCAGTTCTTTGTGACATCCACCTGGCACACTGTGATAGAGAGATAAAAAGGGGTTTACAGGGAGTAGTAGCAAGGACATTTCGTTACGTAGATGATCACCTGGTAATGTTCCGACATAGTCCCGACAGGCAGAGAGGTGAGGTCATAAATGGAACGTTAGAGGTATTCAGGTCATGCTCAGGGTTGTAACATTCACAAAGGAAGAGCCAACAAGTGGGAGCATGCAGTTCCTTGACCTAAAGCTTACTTTTACGGACGACCATTTGTGCTGGACGTACCACCTTAGGAGTACAAGGGGAGTGCTGCCGTTCGATTCCAGTCATTCCAACAGTGGCGTACCAACTCGTTTTTGAGTGGGGGAGGTGGGGGGAGCCAGAGCCCCCCCCCCTCCCCACCCCGTTCCCGGGGGGGGGGTTCTTTTGGTATTCCTTGGGCGCCGCCAGCCAGTGTTTGCCCTGCCCAATGGCGGCTGTTTCTGGGGGGGGGGGGCAAAACACTTGATATGCCCCCCCCCCACTTTGAGAACTGGAGGGGGGGCAAGCGCCACCCTTGCCCCCCCCCCCCCCCCCCCGGTTTCCCAAGGTGGTAAAGAGGGGCATTGCCGTAACCTGCCTGAAAAAGGGCTTAGTTAAATCATGTCCGCATGAGATGAAATATAGTTTTTTAATTCAATTAAATAGTCTAAATAGAAACGGGTATCCGCACGGCCTTCTCGTGGAAGTGACTGAGAGCCTCATAAAAGCACTGAAACACCCGGACAAGTATGGCAGAAAAGTCCTAAAGTAAGGCCAGTGGTTCTACCGTACCTGCACAAGGTGGCTCATAGGCTAAAGAAAATGGCACAGAGGCATAACGTCCCAATGGTGTTTTAGCCTCATCGAAGTTGGGAAGGCTATGTGCGAGAGTTGATCGGAGTAAAGAGAAAGGTCATGCATGCACGAAGAAATACAGAAAACGGTTTGTTCAGTGTAGGGAGGGTGTCGTTTATGAGGTACCCCTTCCATGTAATAGAGTGTACAGCGGCCAGACAGGCTGTTGTATAAATGATGGGCTAAGAGATCACGCGCTCTCGATGAGGTCATCGCCCTCGGGAAATTTTGTCATCCATTGTAATAGATGTGGCTGTGAACCAAGGTCAAAAGAAACAGTCATCTTGGGGTATAGACAGCAAACAAAGAGTGAGACGCCGATGCGTACCTGGTCTTGTAAGCAAAACTATCGTGAGACCAATTGCCGAATAAACAGATGAGGAAGGCCTAGTCCACCCTAGGATACTCGGCGAAACAAGTTGTCACGACGGATGGGTTCCTAGGAGGACTTCCAGACAAAAACAGCAAACACTTTGTGCAACTTCCGAATATTTATCTTTGCGCAGTGCAGTACTTGTAATACATACCGAAGGTTGGCCGCTAAAAAAATGTGTCAGACTGTCGAACGTGCAAAAATGGACAAGTTTTTGTGGGACCAGTTCTTGGCTCGTTTCTTCAAGTCACTCGCAACTCCGAACCAGTAGAACTTGCTATTCTGGAAGTGCCTCAAGGGCACAGCTATGTTGTCACACGGAGTGCAACTCCACTGGATGCTTTGGTATTTCTCAGGCATCGTGCCCCAAGCTCCATGCCAGAATCCTCGGCTCTTTTCTAGGTTCAATGAGGCCCCAGTGGCCTCACGAAACCTGTGTGTGAGCTCCACAGCATGGGCCCCACTTTTCTTGTCTTTATAGAAGTAAGCGACATCATCTGCATACTCCAGTACTTTGACTTCTGTGTTCCACAGGATGAAACCTTGAAGTTTCTCACTTCTCACTATACTTTGGCATAAGGGTTCAAAATATAAAGTAGAAAGTAAAGGGGATAAGGAACAGCCCTGTCGAACTGAGGAACAGACTGGGAGGCTTGTTGTGACTTCTTTAGTTATGACTAGGCGTGTGAAACAGTTACTGTAAGTTACTGTTTCACACGCCTACAGTTACTGTAAGTAACTGTTTCATTTGTACACTTTGCAGTATAATATCCCCAACACCTGTATAAAAGAAAAATTTGAGAAAACAAAACAGAACAAAACATGATAACTAACATGGTCAAATGCTTGGACGGTCGAATGCACATATCAACTTGATCTATTGGAGTCTGCTCACTACTGTTCGTTGCACACTCTAATACACATCTCGCAATGT